AAGAAAGAAAGAAAGAAAGAAAGAAAGAAAGAAAGAAAGAAAGAAAGGGGCAGCTAAGCGGCACAGTGAATAGAACTCTGGCCTTGGAGTCAGGAGGACCTAAGTTCAAATCTAGCCTCAGACACTTAACACTTACTAGCTGTGTGACCTTGGGCAAGTCACTTAACCCTGATCGCCCCACCAAAAAGAAAAAGAAAAAAACATTGTCCCCCTTGTGACCAAGGTCCTGCAATTTGTAAGATAGTTGACTAGGCCTAAAGATGCTTTTTGGTTATGGATTTAGCATTTTATAATTTTTTATTATAATCACTCAGTTTTTAAACATAGTATTTTACTACATTTTTATTTTGTTAAATTTTCCCAATTACATTTTAATCGGTTCCACAGGCACTGGGGGAGTGTTGTGGCCCTGTGCAGCTTCAGGTGTTTGACACTTATGTTTTAAAGGAATAGTATGTAGAAGCCACAAAAAGTTAGATTTCATCTCAGTATGAAGATCTTGCTGACAGGTAGAACTGTCCAACAGTGGAGCCAGTATCTGCTTCAAGAGGTAGTGAGCTCATTATCACTAGAGGTATTTAAACACAGTCTAGATGACAATTTCTCAGGATCCTATAGAAGGTAGTTTTGGATTAGGTAGGAATTTGGACTCTGCACTTTAAAAACTTTGTATGTTTTGTTTGAATACCTCTAGCAGTTATTCCTACCAGGTAGCTTAATTTACTCCACATTAGTGAAATCTTACAAAATCATGTACTTGAATAAATTAACCTTTAAATGCCATTTTGCTGAAGACTGTGAAGTTAAAGTTGAATTAGTAACAAAATTAGACCACTGTCCCATTGTAGTGAAGAAAGTGTTGTGTGAACTTGAAGGCAAGAGACCTAGGTTCATTTATAGGCACTGACTTATAAATGACCTATCTCTGTGACCTCTGGGAAGTCACTTCTCTCTGTGCCTCAGTTTCCTCATTTATAAAATGGGGATATTTCACTACCTACTTCAAAGAGTTGTAAAGAAAATAACTTTATAAACCTTGAAACATTATGTAAATATGAACTGTCACTATTAGAGCTATAGATGAATTGGTACTCTTGTGTCTGTAAACTTGTAAAATGTAAGGATTTATTCTCTATCATCAGTTGCCCAAATGAAAGCAGTCCTTGAGACACTTGCCAAGTATTCATATTTTAAGTTCTCTATTAGTTATTATTCTACTAACCAATACTACCATATTACTATAGATTGGTAGTAGATACTTATTATGATGAACTTTAAATATTGCAAAACCTAAAAGATCTTGTTTAATCAATATAGTGTTGGTGCTAAGTATTCAAATTCTTTGAAAATTAGCTTATAAATCACTGTCCCTTCCTTGTCTTTAAGATGAGGGAATTGGTCTAGATCTGGGGCTCTTAACCTGTGGTACATAAACTTGTTTAAATATTTGAACAGCTGTATCTTCTAAATGGTTTTCTTTGTAATCCTTTGTATTTTAGTTTATGCATTTTAAAAACATTCTTCTGAGAAGGGTCCATAAGCTCCATCAGAGGCCCAAGGGGCCATTGAGTCCCTGGACTAGGTGGTGATTTCTAAGGTCCTTTTCAGCTCTAAATCCTACTAACTGTGAATTAACACTCCATTAACCAGAATATTTGATTATGTAAAACCTCATTCCTTGAGTTCCATTAAGAAGGTTACTGTGTTCCTATTAGGGAAATAAAGCAAAGGGAAAGGGCACTATAATGGATCACAGTAGAGGGGACACTGAACTTGGAGTCAGGAACACTCCAGTTTAGCATCTGTCTCCTTGATAGCTATGTAACCCTAGGAAAGTCCCTTGACCTCTATGATCCTGTTTCCTCATTGGTAACATAATAATAGCACTTGCCTCCAAAGATTTTTCCAAGTATCTAATGAGATGATATATGTGAAACAGCAAATATTAAAGCACCATAAACGTTACTTGTCTTAGGAATGCCTGTCATAGAACTTTAGTGCCAAAATGAACTTCTGTCTAGTCCAACCCCTTCATTTTACAGAAGAAGCAGCTGAGGCCCCAGATTACTTTACATGGTCATAGGAAATTAGCCAGTGGTAGAGCTAAGACCCAAAACTGGCTCTTCAGTTTTCTGACTTACCAACAAGTATACTTTTCATTATGCTGTGTTATGTCCATAAATACAACTACTATACCTTATTTTGGACTTTAGACTAAACCGGAGCAGCCTGGAATAGATGAAAGCACAGACTTTTAAAAAGAATTTAAGCTTTAAGCTAGTTGTACCCAGAAGGACTGCACAGATGTACAGATAGGAAGACTGAGTAAAATCAGGAGTGAGGGGAAGGTTTTTTTCCTAAATTTTCTTCCATTTTTCCTGGGGTAGCAGTGGGGAATTGGAAGCTCTTGAAGGGAGGGGAGGATTGATTTTCCACATGCAGAGTTTTAGTCAGTAAGTCAGCCTCCAAAGAAGAAGTTTGAGAAAACACTCTCTCTCTACTGGCTCCTCCAGTCTCAGAACCAGACTTCCATTTGTTTTCACCCCATCATCCCAGCACCTTTCCTACTCTTCTTCTTTAGAGGTTGTTTGCTCAACTTTCATGAATATTAAAACCCTCTCCAGTGTCAGGGTTCTGAATATCTTGATTCTGTTCAGCCCTTTGACACTGAAAGGGGGAGGACACAGAAGTAGTTATCATGCAGCTGAAAAAGTGAGCAGGTGCCTTCTCAGAAAGGGGGTGGGTGGCATGGGGCAGGAGTGCTAGGTCCAAAGTATATTTAAATGTCCACAGTAATCCAGCAGATTTACACATCCACATATTACCAAATGCTAAAGTTCTTGATCATTTTCCACTTAACTATTTGCTTGTTTTATTAATAGTCACTCAACCTTGGTCCCCAAAATAAACTAAAATAATCTATTTTTTAAAGAGAGAGGTACCTGAAGACTAAGCAAATGGTTCATAAAAAGGCAGGGAATGTTTCTGGGAGGAAGTTGCATCTGAGTTGGGTCTCAGTAGAAGAAAACTTTAATGAAAAGGGATGTGTTTATTATTTCTAGCCTAAGATACAGAAACTGAGTTATAGATGATTTAAATTATTTGCTCCACAATTTACTATTAAGACTTGTAGATATTCTACAGAGAATGTAGACTACTTTGAAAAGAATTATGGTTTTTGCTTTTTGGTTTTTTTTCCCCAGGGAATAGGAGACTAATAAATAAGCTGGAGAAAACTCCAGTACATTCATCTAGCCACTTTGATAAATCTACAAAATATATAAGCAATACATGTATAAAACTTTTAAGTTAGTGAAATTCCATTCAGACTTCTGTATCTTGTCCTTGAGAATTTTTTTCATCTTTGAAATCTGTTTTTCTGCCCTATCTTGTAACTTGTTGAAGGCTTAGGCATGCAGTGTTATCTTTAGAGAAGGAAAGCAGAAGGTAAACCAAAGAAGCTAAAATATCACAAGAAGGTGTAAGATGGGGGCATATTAATTTAGGGATCTGGATAGTAAAATTTGGTTTGGTAATGTTTGCTAAGATCCAGATATGAGCATTTAAAATTGTATGATGTATGTTGTTGGAGACTGTACTGATTCCATAATTATGGTTTCTCATATTTGTTACTTCTTGCTTCCTAATGCTGTTTCTACCCCAGTGGTTCCTCTTTCTTTTCCCTGCCCCACTGTACAAAGTATGGAACTTCATTTAACTTGTTAAAAGGAAGATTTTAAAAGACCATTAGCATATAAATGTGGCTTTCTCTCTAATCTCAGAAGAAGTGAAAATACCTTGAAAAAAGGAGAGTTTTAAAAGAAAAAATAACTACCCTCTAAAGCATTTTATGTTAGGGAATAAATATTGAGATTTTTCTGTTATTTGTGGGGTGTTTTAGAATCTAACCCTTGAATATGAGAAGAAGAACCTATATTTTTTTTAACGTGATTGTCGTAGAGGAGCTGCTACAATGTCCCGCCAACCAATGAGTGACACAGCTGAAAATGGGGATTGTTCCAAGGGAAGCACAGGAAATGGACCTCAGAATTTGGCTCATCCAGACCTGGAAACATTCACTCCAGAGGAGATGCTGAAACAGATGAAGGAGCTCCTTATTGAGAACCACCAGTTAAAAGGTAAAAGATAACTGGCCTCTAAATTTATCTTTATTTCTCATGTTTCCCTGTGCCTTTGTGAACTATAATCTCATTGTAAAGGCCTAGGAATTGGATTTTCTTATAGTCCATTTTTTCTCTTTTTCCCTGGGGAGAAATGTCTATAGAATTTGGCTTTTGACAAGGCTGGACCCCTCTCTATTGTTTAGCATTTGCACATAGGTTAGATGAAGGGTATTGATGTGTAGCACATCTGAAAAAAAATTTAAAGCAAAAGACATTCTAAATAAATGCTCTCTTTTTAAGAAAGAAAAAGCTCTGTATTACCTGTATTCCAGAAAGGTCCAGGGATCCAGTCTAGGACTCCTGAACCAATTCTTAATCTACTGTAGAATATCTCATATTCATAGTGGGACTCCATCATTTAGGGTTCCTGAAGCTCTGAAGAGTGAAATAGGCCTGTTCCAGCCTTTTTAACCACATCATTAAGCTCTTTTCTCACTTTCCCTTAAACCTAAGTTGAGCTTTTATATCCAAATACAAACAGAGTTATCTGTGGAGAAATTTAATTGGGTGACTTTATCCTTCAAATTGCTGTATTGGTCCACTTCTCTGGTCAACTGATACCCTCATTATATACAGAGGCCATGAAGCAAAATAACCAAACTATGAAGGGACGGTTTGAAGAGCTTTCAGCCTGGACAGAAAAACAAAAGGAAGAACGTCAGTGTTTTGAGTTGAAGTTCAAAGAAGTCAAGGAGAGTTTGTTATCTTTGAGTAATGAAAATGAAAATTTGAGAGCAGAAATTGAAAACCTTAAAGGAAAAAAAGAAAAGTCTTTTGAGGTAAGCAAAGTGTATTCATATTTTTTAAAAAATTCACTGTAACAGAATATGATCTATGCTCTAATGGACTAAAATCGTTGTTCATTCTGGTTGTGCTGGAGTTAACTTTTGTATTGTTTATGCAGAATAGTTTTTCTGAGGAAATTTATAACATAAACAAGATAATGGGGAGCATATTTAACCTCTTTTAGGGAATGTTGCTTCTATACAAGTATTATTTACAAATGACAAGCCAGGCCTCCAGGCCTCCTTGTAGCCTCCCCAGGAAGCTGGTCCATGGCTTGAAGTCTGGAGTTCTGAGCTGTAGTAAGGCTAAAGGAGATCACAAAGGGCATCCTCACAGGGTTTCACATGTCTGAGGAAGGGTGAAGAAGTCCAGGTCAGAAATGGAGCTGGTCAGAGCTTCCTACAGATAAGCAGCTGGCGTCAGGCCTGTGGGTGGCCATTATATATCCAGACTAGGAGAGCTAGGGAAGACCCAGTCTCTCAAAAATGAACAAAAAAAAAACAAAACATTTTTTCTATTCCATGTAGGATATTTAGGACTCCCATTCTTTGGCAATAGAAGTACGTCCTTAAAAGTCACATGACGACATTTTTAAAAATTAGGGTTTTTTTGTTTATTCATATTGCCCTTTCTACATAATCCAAAACTTAAAGGTTGTTTTCTTAGTTTTCAAAAAATGGTGTGAAAACTTTTTTAAAATGTCACTGAATACCCATTGATTAACCTTAATAAGCTAACCTTACTAAAGCACAAATAGCCCAAAGAACCTGAAGAAAAAAATTTATTACCCAAGCTTGTAGCCTTGTATACATTAAGTACTAGACACAGCACTTCCTCAGGATTATAAGACAGTACCTCACTATGACACCATTAAGTTGGGGCTGAAAATGAATTTCTCTCCTGAAATCCTTGCCCTTTATTTCAAAGAACCATGAATAGGATTTTATTGACTAAAGTGTATGATCCTATGATTATTCTCCTTTACAAGGTTTGTCCAAAATCTAGAATAGAAATTTTTAACCAGAAGTCTGTAAACATTAAAAAGAAAATGGATAACTATATTTTAGTATAACTGGTTTCCTTGGTAATCCTATATGTTTTATTTTACGCATTTTAAAACATTATTCTGAAAAGTCCATAGAATTCATCATGCTGCCAAAGGAGTCCATGACACAAAACGTAGAATTTTTCTCCCAATAAAGATTAAAGTACTAGGTTGGGGTAAGGCACCAGTTAAGTGGGTGAAGTGAGTTCATATTTATATTTATGCTTTTACTATGAATTTGATCAACTACTAATTTTTGGACAGATGGGGAAGAAGCAGCAAATGAATGAATGAGAGAGAATTAAGAAAAGGGAATGTTGAGAGAGCAGTAGAAGGGATGGAAGCTTGAGTGTTATTTATATGTGTTTACAGTCATCACAGGATCATACACTCAGTGCTGGAAGGGACTTTAGAAGCCACTGAGGTCCAGTGGTCTCTAGGACGGAGGTGGGGATGGGGGGTGGGGGATGGGAGGTTGAGGAGGGAGGAATGAAAAAAAGAAATTGACATGCTAATTCTGATATATATTTGAAAGAAATAGCAAGTTGTGCCTAGTAGATTTGCAGTTTCATGTACAATCATCTTTTTATTGTACAATGTTATGGAAATGATTGTTTTATTCCATGAATTAAATGAAGTAAAATAAAAATTAAAAAAAAAAGAAGTCACTAAGGCCAACACCTCACTTTGTAGCGAAGGTAAACAGGACCCATAGAAGTTACCTGACATGCTCAGAGATCACACAGGCCTTTTGTTGAAAAGCTGATGGTTAAATGGCCTGCCCACAGACTAAGGAAAAGTCGTGGTGTAGTATCACCTAGAAGCAGACCTGTCGGTGACTCAGCAGAGATCATGTTTGCTGCATCTGATAATTCAACCCTTATGTTTCAAAGGACATTAACTTTCTACTCTGGAATTTGTCACTAGTTAAATTTGTGGAAGGTCAAGATAAAATGGTAATTTTCACTTGGAAAATATGAGCAATACAATGGTATATCATTTTAGAAGAAGAAAATAAATTTTATCTCTCTTCTCCTTTAGCCTTAAGGGAGCTGACAGTTGGCTTTAGCTTGCTGTGAGCCAATCACATTGTAGTTTGAGAGGAAAGATTCCAGAAACAGTTAGTCTGTTTGGGCAGTTGCCCACAAGTTTCAAGAGAGCTGAGGGATATTGAGATCAGAAGGTAGGGCTTGGGTGGCTTCTTCCAAAACAGGAAGCAGACTGAAATGAGCTGCAAGGAGGACCTAGTAGTGAGATGGTAGTTTTGGGAGCCCAGCATTCTTGGGAGAGTGACTGCTAGTATCATCTTTGTTTCTACTTTGTCATCTTTTTCTTCTTCCAAACCTTGCTTTCCAGCTCCATTTTCTCCATGCTTTGGCCTAAATTTCCCTTTCATTAAGGATTTCCCTTAAAGCATTAATTACTTAGGCTATCCTCTCCACCTGTCATTTGCTTCAACCTTTTTTCCTCAATTAAAGCTTTCAGGCCATAGCTTGAGTTTTTGATTGCCCTGTGAAGTTGCACTGAATAACATTAAAATTATCAGAAAGCATTTACATCCCTAATTGCATATTCCTTGGCCTAGGTTAGGCAGTGTACAAAAGAAGTTATATAGAATTGTTCCTCCCTTATATAGCCTTTTAAGGTTTTCAAAGGATTTGCCTTTAAGAACTTAAAATTCCAAGATGAAAACACATGTATAAGACATAAAATATACAAAAGAAATATTATATCAATACATGATGTGTCAAGACAACTACAAAGTTTTGAAACAACCAGACATTCCTTGGTGCAGGATCTCGGCATGCAAAGGTCTACTTTGGTTAAGTTTAGATATCTTTTTTTACTGGCTGTCAAATAATCTTGCATTTTACCATTTTGCTTTGCATTTACCTAACAGGAATATCAATAACTGATTTTGGGGGTGGGGAGAGAACTGACATAGTAAACTATGACCCTTTCTGATTGTATGATCTTCTCAATGTGATGAGTTAGTGCTTGCAGGATGACAGCTTCTGCCTTTATTTTCTGGAACTAGATTTATTAGATTATAAATTTCTTGAAGGCAAGGATTATATCATTTTTCATCTTTGTATCACCTTATCACCAATGATACAATACCTTGCACATAGTAGGTACTTAATAGACATTTGGTTTGAAATTAAAATTTGAATTAAAATTCAAGAACATTCCATAGGTCCAATTTCCAGCACAGCTTCTATCCAGTTGATTTCCAGGTCATAGATTTAAAGCTGAAAGAGACCTTGAGGTCACTAAGCTTAACATACTCACTTTACAGAAAAAAAAAAAAAACTGAGGCCCAGAGAGTTTCAATGAATTGCCCATGGTTACAAAGGTACTAAGTGGCAGAGCCAGGATTTGAACCTAGCTTCTCCTGACTCTAGACACAGCATTCTTTCTTTTCTGCCACTCTAGACTGTCAACCTTTTCTTTCTGAGCATAAAATGGTTTCCATCTTCCTGAATTTCAAAACAATAAAGTACTTATATGTTTATCATATAGTAATTTTTTAAATTGCCGAATGAAAGTCAAGAGTTCTAGTCAAGAGAGGGATGGCCTGGGAAATGAATTTAATACTTGGAATGCATCAAATTTGGTGGCTTGTTTTTTGTTCTATTTGCTAATCTGCTTAGCATAACTTGCCATTTTCAGGACATCACTGGTGACTCCAGGATTCCCAGGACAGACCAAGAAATGGAACAACTAAAGACACAAGTTACTCGTCTTCAAGCTGAGAAGGCAGATTTACTCGGCATTGTATCAGAATTACAGCTGAAGCTGAACATAGGCTCCTCTGAAGACTCATTTGTTGAAATTAGAATGGCTGTAAGTTATAAAATACTGCCAGTTAAAGACAGGGGAACTATCTTTTGTCACTTTTTCTTTCTGATGCAGGAAAGATAAATGATGCCCCATTCTGGTGGCACAAGAAATTTAAGTACAGCCTACTTGATGTGGGGAATTCATTCCCCTTTTTAAAAACTACTCTAAAATACTTGAGACGAGATACTGGTTGCTTTTCAAAACAAGAAGTGTTGATTTGTTTTTGGATTATGAGCAAACAAACATTCTATAATTGAATTAGAAGGAATACATTAAATTAAGAACTATTCTGATTTAGTCATTAGTCTAGGTCAGCAGAATGGCATCAGATGTTTAATAGATGATCTTTATCTAGTTCCATCAAACCAGCATTTACATGATGTCACAAAATTAAATATACTAACAGATATTGCGTGACACATGTTTTTTTCCTCAAAATTTTTCTGGGGAACACGTATCACTATAGTATCTAAATAAACATGTTAGGCAGCAAAAAATGAAGATAAACTCTGTGGGAGCCTCTGCTTTACTATCGCTCGATGAGATTGGATGGTGGGTTTTGAAAGATCCCTAGGAGGACAGATTCATTATCATCTTTCTTGTTTTTTCTAAGACAGAGTTTAATTTCTTTTGAAGGAAATGAGAGAAAATATTTGTCTTGCTAAAAAACTAAAGTATGTGGGTATATGTGTAAAAAAAAGAAAGAAAGAAAGAAAAACAACCTGTGTTCCAAAGAACCAGTAATTTTGGTGGCAACCAAAAATGACAGTATAGTGCCTGGCAAATTGGTGCTTAATAATACTTGATTTTTTTTTTTTTTATGATCAGCTTAAAAGAGTCTCTAAGGTATGACTTTAGTATAGTAAACTAAGCAGGCAGCAAATAAAGTACAGTAAGTACAATTTAAAAATAACTTTCAGTAATCAATACATCTAAACCACACTCATTCAGATGATTTATAGCCATAAAATTAAAGAGATTTTATAACTCTCAACTTGAAAACAGAGTTAAATTTTGTACCTATTCCCATTCTGCAAGTTACTGAAGGTTACTAAAAGCTAATGGATTTTTCTAAAGAGCTTTGTTTGCTTCAAATAAATTGATAAATTCAGAAAAACCACCCACTATATCAGAAGTTCCTAAATGAAATTCCCTCTTTTGAAGCTGTCTAATACTAAGACACTCTTATTCACAGGTGAATAATAATCATATTGTAATTGTCACTCAAAGCTAGGATAAAAAATATTTTTCTTGCTATAGTGAATTGGAAATATTGCTTAATAATCTGAAAGACTTCATGCAATAAAAATAATTTATAGCCATTTTAATCTTTTTCGGAAGATTTTTTCCTTTGGGCATATTGTAATGTAAATGTATTTTGTGTCAATGTCGAGTCTCAGTCTTCCCTATGCCCTAAAGATCATGTAGCCCATAATATGTATCTAACAAGAACCATCTTGGAAAAGACATACTACTCAGTTAACCTTATAAGGTGAAAAGTCTGTCTCTTCCTCTTTGGTTATGGTAACTTTCATTCATCTCTTTTCCCAAAATGTAAAAGACATTAGGGAGGTGTGAGGAGATGGCACTAGCATGTGTGCCTTATTTGCCTTATTTGCTTGAAGGGAAAGAGGGACTTACTAGAGAAGGAGGCAAGAGTTTCTCTTTTACAAGGCCAAATTAATATCTTTACCTTCTGAGTAACTCTGCAAAAAGGACCCTAATTCATTGTGATATTGAATAAAAAGGGGAAAGTTAACTTCCATTCACTTTGAATGAATCAAACATTTTAAATACTAAGAATTTTTCATAGGTTCCTTGAATTGAGTGTCTTTAAAATTCTTGCTTTATCTGTTCAGTTTCCCTCATTTGATTGTAAAGATAAAGCATTTGTCTTTGATATCTATTAATTATTAAGGCTGCCTATTTTTTTTTTAATTTCACAGGAAGGAGATGAGACTGGAGCTCTAAAAGAAATCAAGAATGGTCCCGGGTTGATGACACCTGACCCCATTGACAAGTAGGTAGAATAAAGACTAGTTACTTTAAAATATATCAAAAAAGCATTATAGTGAAAAACCTTTTAATTATCTTGACTTCATCCTCTGGTGGGCAGAAATGTAACTTTTCATGCATTTATACTAGTAATTCTTGGAGAATTTTGTGATTAAATGTGATTCACTATAACTATAAAAATGAATAAAAAACCGTAATGGTATTTAGTATTGCTTTAAAGACCAGCTAATGCATGTAAAAGAGAGAGGACCAGGTATTTTATGTTCCCCAGACAAGAGGAGAAAGGATAAAAAGGTGAAACAGCTCGCTTTCAATCAATAAGTCTTTGGTAGAAATTGGAGTAGAATCCAAGTCTCCTAATATCTACACCAATGAATTCTTCAATATCTGAAAAGACTGCATCTTTATAACATAACATTTGCCTCTTGCCATCCTTTGTTTATCATGCTCACACAGAAGGATAACTAAGGACTTTATAATCTTGCACATGAATGAGTTGTATTACTTTTAATGTATAATGCGTGAGGAGGGTGGTCTGTATAACCTGAGAAGCATCTTGGTTAGTGGAAAGAATGATGGATCTGGAGGTGGGAGGCCTTGATTTGAATCCTGCTGATAACATTTAACAGCTGTATGACCATGGGGAAGTCACTTTACCTAAGTTTTCTTGTCTATAAAATGGAGGTAATGATATTTAGCTTCATAGGATTATCCTGACAGGAGTATTTTTTAAACGTTGAAGTGCCACATAAACATGAGTTTATTATCTGTCCCAACTAAAGATTAGATGGGTGATGTGGGGGCATGTTGGGCAGCAAGGTGGTACAATACCTAGAGTGCTGGGCCTAGAGTCAGGAAGGCTCATCTTCCTGAGTTCAAATCTGGCCTCAGACATTTACTAGCTGTGTGACTTTGGGTAAGTCACTTAACCCTGTTTGCCTCAGTTTCCTCATCTGTAAAATGAGCTGGCGAAGGAAATGGCAAACCACTCCAGTATCCTTGCCAAGAAAACCTCCAAATCAGGTCACAAAGAGTCGGATACAACTAAAAATGACTGAAGTAGGAACACAGAAATGTGAGAGAGCCAGGGTGGGGGTGGGAAGGGGGGCTTAGTTAAAAGAGGAAATATAGAATGGGAAACTCTGTGTTTCTAAAAATGTTTGAGTAGTGATATAGTGAACTAGTAGACCTCTTACTGGCAACCCTAAGTTAAACTATTCTGAATAATTCTTAGTGTTACATCCCTCTACTAAATAAAGGGTGTCAGAAAAGTTTGGTATTTTATTTTAGTGTGTACATTGAATTATCTTAATTTTTTAATGTAACTTGACAAATGCATAGCTTCAAAATGTGGTATTTTTACATTTTTTTAATATTCATGAAATATTTTATATTTTGTATTATGTACCCATATAAGGGGAGATACAGTTCAAAAAGCTAGGTGCTAGTGATGCAAAGACAAAAACAAAAGCGACCTAGGAACTTACATTCTACTGAGAGGAAAGTACACACACAGATAAATAAATGCAAGATTAATACAAGGTAATACAAAATAATTTTGGTGCAGGGTCTATTAATATCTGCAGAGAGGCCTCTTGAAAGTAGTACTTGAGTTGAACCTCAAAGGAGCTGTGTACCACAGATCTAGGAGTTCCAAGACATAGAACTGAGAAGGAAGACCATTAAAAGCATGGAGGCAAAAGATAGTCTTTTGTGTACTGAAAACAGCAAGTTGACCCATTTGGTAGGAATGCAGAAATAGTTTGTATTTTATTCTAGAGGCAGTGGGGTGATAGCATACTTAATAAATGCTTCTTGATAACTATATTTTCCCAAAGTATTCTGGATTAGATGAAAAAAAGCAGACTAGGAAATACAGTACTTTTGGATTTGGCTCAGGATGAATTGCTAAACTCAAAGAATAGTCATCAAGTCCTTGTCTTTCTGAAAGACGGTCTTTACTGAAGTGCTACAAGCATCTGCCATTGGCATTGTGCTATTTAATAGTTTGTTTTTTAGAAAGAATTATAAAAATCTGCAAATGACATAAGGATGCAACACACGGGAACAGCTAACACTTTGGATTACAATGTCAGCATTTTAAAAAGATCCTGATAAGCCAGAACATTGTCTTAGAAGAAAAAATTCAAGAAAGATAAATAAATGTAAACTGTTACATTTGTAAAGTTGATTTTTTTGAACACAGTATAAAATGAGAAAAGTAATACTGGATAGACAGTACTTTAATTTTAAGGTTAGAGTTAGTGTACTGCAAGCTTCATATTAGTCAACAGTGATGGCAGCCAAAAAAGTGAAGGAAATCTTAGGCTGTATTAAGAAAACAGTGTCCAGGACTAGGGAGGCAATAGTTCCACTGTAATCTGTCTTGTTCATATCACATCTGGAGTTTGTGTCCATTTAGTTCTGAGTGACACATTTAATAGGACAGAGGGCAACCAGAGTGATGAAGTGGCTTGCAATCATGTCATATCAGGGTGGGTTGAAAAAACTGGTGATATTTAACTTGAAGAATAGAAGACTTAGTAGGAGATATGACTTTCTTAAAATACTTGAAGAGTGGATTGTGGGAAGTGTGGACAAAGGATAAGATTTGTTCTGCTTAGTCACAGAGGACAACACTAGAAGTAATGGGTAGACATTTTAGAGTCAGATTTAGGTTTCCTATGAGGAAATCTGCTTAACAATTATAATCCAAAAATGGTATCAGTTACTTTGAGGGATTCCTTTTAGTAGAGATTTTCAAGCAAACACAGGAAGACCTCGTTTTGTGAGGTATATTATAGAGGGGGACTCTTAAGGAAGGGGTTGGACTTCATAGCCTCTAAGGCCCTTCCAATGCTGATTCTGTAATTTTTATGATTTAGAAATGTCATTTGATATTATCAAAGCTTCCTATTGACAGCATATCCGTCCGTAATGACCCAGTTCAGATGCTACATCCTCTTTGAAACTTTCCCTGATCTTTACCATCTCCCTCCTCACAACTGGAAGTGATTTGTCCATCTTGTCATCTCAAAGCATTTTATATACTTTTTTTATAGACCTATATTCTAAATTGGTTGTATTACCTATGTATCTCATCCTTCTTACAAGCTCAAAGTTTTTATGAGTTAAGTCAGTCTAAGATGAACTAAATTCTCTGAATTAATTAATAATCTAAACTGTATTTTTATTGATACCCTCCTCAACTTTTTTTCTTTTTTCTTCTGATAACTCCTTGTTTCTTTGTTTTTGTTAGAAGACTTTTCTAGCACAGAAAAGAGGGGGAAAGAAGGCAATTTTTGATTTAAACTTTTAAGTCAATTTTCCTTCCTAGCTACATTTATTCTAAGATACTTTATTTAACTTTTTAGTGACTACAAATTCCTTTGCTCTATTTATTGTCTTCTTAGGAACTTACTGTTATCATTATCATTAAAATTGACAAGGAGAAAACATTTTACTTGGACTAAAAGCAAACATTTTAATTAGAAAATTTTCTTAATTCCAGTGCTTTCCCTCTGTTAATTATTTCCTGTTCATCTTGTATATAGCTGTTTTTTATATATTTGTTTGCGTGTTATCTCCCCTGTTAGAATGTAAGCTCCTTGAGGACAGGGACTGTCTTCTGCCTCTTTCTATCCTCAGCACTTAGCACACAGTGTGTGACACATACTTTGCACTTAATAAATATTGATTGATTGATAGATAGGCAATTATTCACATCCCATTTTGCTATTCTGTTAATTCACTATTGCCTAACAAAGATCCAGATTTAGCTTCTCACTGCCTTTATCTACTATGAAGGATCCATCCCTGGGACCTTACTGTTCTCAGACAGCTTACTATAGGATTCCAGTTCCTTCTCAGGATATATTTTGCTTTTGACATGCCCTCACCTATTCCAGGAATTTAACTTGTTACAGCTTCCTAAATCTTCACCTATCTCTTGAAACATAACCTGATATGTTAAGCCTACAGAACCTTTCTGGGTGCTGACTTGAGTTTATTCGCCAGTTATATTATCCCCAGAACTCACTCTCAGTTAACCAGAAAGCCTTCTCTTTGCAAAACAGATTTGAGAGGGGAACAAAAATAATAAAGACATAGTTCTAACCCTCAAGTAACTTCATGTAGTAGGGGAGATAAGACATGTAACAAAAAACTAGACTACAAAATGGAACTTTAGTGCATGAGAGAGGTGCTGGTGAAGTGCTGTGAAAAAAAGGGGAACACCCCCTTTGGCTGAGTGAGCCCAGCTTGGCTATTATAAGAGCATTGTTTTGTATTCACTTTGCTATTTCATTTAAAAACAGCAGAAAAGATTGGTATGTGATTAAAACTGTTTCAATGAGTAAGAGCTGATGAATGCTCAGTAGGGTAGTCTGTTTAAAACAGACCATGTTTAAATGAAATAATCTATTTTAAATTATAACACTTTTACTTCCTGATCCAAATGTTTTAACTTTTTGTTCTTTAGTTGTACTAAAAAGCAACACTTTTTCTCTGCATAGGAACAAATCTGTGGATGGGGCAAAGAATTATTTGGAATCTGAGGAATTAACTGTTAGTCAGCTTCTACTATGCCTCAGGGAAGGAAATCAGAAGGTGGAAAGACTTGAAACTGCACTCCGGGCAGCTAAAGACAGGTATAAAACACATATACATTATATTTAGAACACTTTCTGGACCTCTTAATTTTTACAAAAGAATTTTTTTAAAACATGAAGTACAGAAGTCTATTTTCCCATAGTAAGAATTGTTTTCCTTGCCTGATAGCATCATTGTGAGATTTCATTGAGTATTTGGAAATGTTTTTAAAGTTATACGAATGTGTGATTTTGATGATATGAAATAGTTTTATTTTTCTGATAGTTACATCTGTTAACATGACTATTAATTTCATGAAAGTGAGGCTAATACTATGACTTAAATATAATTTTAAAAATCAGTTTACCCAAAATTACTTCAAATGGAAGAGGTTTAATTTAGCTATTTCAACTTTAATCTGCTAATGACAGTCAGGGTTGGGGTACTTCAGGGCTTTTTGATATTTTCCCTGTAGCCTTCCTGTTAATCAGCACCTTTATAAAATAGGGACACTGGTGACTAGCTACTAAATTTTATCAATGTCCCATGCCTGAATAGCATGACACTTTTTGCGTGGCCCCCATAGGACAGAAGTAGGAGCTTCTGTGTTAGAAGCTGTGGAGAGGAAGATTTATTCTCCATATAATAAAATGCTTCCTAACATTTAGAGCTAAATGGAAGTATAATGATCTTCAAGCAAAGGCTGGATGATACACTTGTTGGGAGAGTTAGAGAAGGATTTCTGCTATATGTACAGGCTGGACTGGAGGACCTCTGAGGGCCTATCTCATTTGGGCCCTATCACAAGACTCTAAAATGCATGTCCTTAACAGCTCTACTTGCTATCTTCATATTGTATGATTGGTTATATCATCTTCAACTAGTTGGTTAAACCAATGAACATACTAGCAAAGATGGAGAAGAAATGAAAAAAATGCACCTCCTTCCTTTACTTGGAGAGGCAGAAAGTTGTGGGAATGGAATGTTGCCTGTGCAGTCAGTATGCCAATTAGTTTCATTTAACTGGTTTATTTTTTTTTTTTCTTTGTTGGGAAAGGCTCACTGAAAGATAGTTCAAGGAAGGAAAGTTATATCTTAAAATGATTGATTTAGAAACAAAAGAGTATGTTTAAAGTCAGGAAAGAAGCAAATTAATAATGATTCTTTTTTACATTTCTATTACTAAGGCTAATAATTATTGTTTGGTGGTGGTATTTGTTTTTCAAGAGATTGAAAGGTAGTTTGGCCTAGTGGATAGAGAGCCAGATTTGGGATCAGAAAGGTCTGGGTTTACTGATACTTGGCAGCTTTGTAACTACTTGCAAGTCACGTAACCTCTCTGAGCCTCAGACAGCTCTACTTAAGGCTCAAAGTTATGGAATGGTCAGAGGGAGTTCTCATACTGGCAAAACTGCCAATCCTTGATAGGGGATGTTTCTAGTGTTTCTTGGTTCCTTAGGTCCTTATTGGCCATGGGTAATCAAAGTGTATTTTAATTAAGTAGATCCATAACACATAAATTTACTAATTGTATTCTTTTAGCATGATCGATACAGAGAAACTATCTTATACAGCTGTTATCTTCAAATGAAGTATTACCCTAGGTTGTAGCATGGAAGAAGTGGGGTTCAGTCCTTCAGATTATAGCCAGTGATCTAGGGCTACCCTTTAGGGTGGATAACTCACTGTCTCACCAAGGGCACCATGAGAAAAAGTCACCAAATCGTCCTTGAAATGACACTGACAGCATGGAATTCCACTTCCACAAAGTCTTTTTCTTGTCCCTAACTCAGCTCTGCATTTAAGAGTCAGAGTGGTTTTTAAAGATTTCTGTGGCCATTTTTCTGTCCTTTTCCCTACTTCCGTACTGCCTGACAGCCACGGACAAATTGGGACTGAGAAGCTCCCAAACTCTAAGTATAGAGAGTGATTTTGATTGAGACTGGCTCTGGACTTAATATTACATATATAATATTTATTATATACTTAGATAATTATAATATATTGTTGTGAGGATGAAATGAGAGAATATTTGTAAAGTACTTACTTAGCATAGTGCCTGTGACATAGTAGGGATTATATAAATACTTATTCCCTTGCCCCTTCCTATTATACATTACATACCTAATATTAACACTAAGTAATAGCATTTATCTCTTCTTATATAGAATACATTTTATACTTCTTGACTATTACCATTTTTCTTTTTTTTTTTTTGGTGGAGTTTATCTAGAGCAAAAGTTCTTAATATTTTTTGGATCCTAGACTCCTTGGAGTCTGGTGAAGCTTACGAACCGCTTCTCAGGATAATATTTTTAAAGGCATAAAATAAAATATACCAGATTACATTTATATTGAAATACAGTTAGAAAAATATTTTTAGCTTCACATTCTCCAGGTTAAGAACCCCTGAGCTAGAGAACCATGAAGGGTACATTGTCCTCAGTCCTCTGTATGTGAAAATATCCACTTGGTTTGTTGCTTCAAGTTTGATGTTCAAGTCAGAACATTATGTTACATGGTGATAACTATTTCATCAAATTAAATGAACATTTGTTATCTTTGTAACACAGCTGTTAGATTTGTGTAAAATATAACCACACACAGTCAGTTGGTTGAAATGGTATAAAAGCATTTTCAATAACAGTAACTTTCTGTTCTAAGAAAGAAGTGAGCCAACTTTCATTCAGTATCTTATCACATAAAAAAGCCTTAGTACAGAGCTAGAAGTAACAGTACTGTTTTTGTGCTTCTTAGGAAACATTAAGAATGAGTGGGTCAAACAACACATCATAGAAACAATCAATAACAATCAAAAACTTCATTAATTATTAGCAGTCCTTAGGGGAAGCTTTATATCTCTAAATGCTTACATGAATAAAATAGAGAAAAAAAGAGATCAATGAATTAGGCATGCAACTAAAAAAGCTAGAAAAAGAACAAATTAAAAATCCCCAATTAAATACCAAATTAGAAATTCTAAAAACCAAAGGACAGATTAATAAAATTGAAATTAAGAAAACCATTGAACTAATAAATAAAACCAATAAAACAGATAAACCTTTGGTTAATTTGATTAAAAAAAAGAAGAAAAGAAAATTACCAGCATCAAAAATGTAAAGGGTGAATTCACCACCAATGAAGAGGAAATCAAAACAATAATTAGGAGCTATTTTGCCCAACTGTATGCCAATAAATTTGACAATCTTAGTAAAATGGATGAATATTTACAAAAATATAAATGGCCCAGATTAACAGAAGAGGAAATAAAATATTTAACTCCATTTCAGAAAAAGAAATTGAACAAGTCATCAATGAACTCCCTAAGAAAAACCCTCCAGGACCAGAAGGATTTACAAGTGAATTCTATCAAACATTTAAAGAACAACTAATTCCAATACTATATAAAATATTTGGGAAAATAGGTGAAGAAGGAGCCCTACCAAATTCTTTTTATGATACAGATGTGGTATTGATACCTAAACCAAGAAGACCCAAAACAGAGAAAGAAAATTAGACCAATCTCCCAAATGAATATAGATGCAAAATTTTTAAATAAAATATTAGCACAAAGATGACAAAATTTATCTCGAGGATAATATACTATGACCAGGTAAGATTTATACCAGGAATGCAGGGCTGGTTCAATATTAGGAAAACCATCAGCATAATTGACCATATCAACAACAAAATTAACAGAAATCATATGATTATCTCAATAGATGCAGAAAAAGCTTTTGACAAATGACAACACCCATTCCTATTAAAAACACTGGAGAACATAGGAATAAATGGAGTCTTCCTTAAAATGATAGATAGCATCTATCAAAAATTGTCAGCAAGCATTATATGTAATGGAGATAAGCTAGAAGCATTTCCAATAAGCTCAGGAGTGAAACAAAGATGTCCATTATCACCACTGTTATTCAATATTACGCTAGAAATGTTAGCAGTAGCAATCAGAGAATAAAAAGAAATTGAAGGAATTAGAATAGGCAAAGAAGAAACAAAGCTATCACTCTTTGCAAATGATATATTTAGAGAATCCTAGAGAATCAAGTGAAAAATTACTTGAAATAATAAACAAGTGTAGCAAAGTTGCAGGATATAAAATAAACCCACATAAACCATTGGGAATTCTATATATTACTAACAAAGCCCAACAGCAAGAGCTAGAAAGAGAAATTCCACTTAAAATTACTGTAGACATTATAAAATATCTGGGAGTCTACTTGCCAAAACAAAACCAGGAACTATATGAACACAATTACAAAAGCACTTCACACAAATAAAATCAGATATAAATAATTGGAAAAATATCAGTTGCTCATGGGTAGCCCAAGCTAATATAATAAAAATGACAATTCTACCTAAATTAATTTACTTATTCAGCATCATGCCAATCAAACTACCAAAAAATTTATTTTATAGAGCTAGAAAAAACAATAACAAAATTCATCTGGAAGAACATAAGGTCCAGAATATCAAAGGAATTAATGATAAGAAATGCAAGGAAAGGTGGCCTAGCCATTCCAGATCTTAAATTGTATTATAAATCACTTAGCATTTATTAAATGTTTTCTATGTACCAAGCACTGTGCTAAACACTGGGGATACATACAGAGGTAAAAACCATATCCTGCCCTCAAAAAGCTTACATTCTTCTGGGGGAGACATGTAAATAAATAGGTACACATCCGATATGTACAGAGTAGTTAGAAGATAACCTTAGGAGGGGAAGGCTACAATAGCTACAGGGAGGAAAGACCTCCTGCAAAAGGTATTATTTAAGACGAATCCTAGGAGGATTTAGGGATTCTAAGAAGTGGTATTAATAAGGGAAAGTAGGTATTTTAACATCCAGGGCAAAGGCACAGAGACAAGTCTCATGTTAGAGGAGCAGCAAGTAGGACAGGATGGCTGGATCGTAGAGTGTGTAGAAGGGAACAAATTATAAGAAGACTGAAAATGTAGGAAGCGACCTGGTTTTGTCCTTTGAAATTCCAAATAGTTTTACATTTGATCATGGATATAGGAAAAGTAGGAAGGGATCTGATTATAAAGAACTTTAAATGTCAAATAAAGGATTTTATATTTGATCCAGGGAGCCAGTGGAATTTATAGAGAGGAAAATGACATGGTCAAACTTATACTTTAAGAAAATCCCTTTAGCAGTTGTGTGGAGGAAGGATTGGAATATGAAGAAATTTGTGTTAGAGAGACAAATTAGAAGACTATTCTAATAGTCCAGGTAAAAAGTGATGTGGTTCTGTCCCAGGGCTTGGCAAATTAATCTCCTCCACGAAGGAAGAGCCCTGTTTAGTGTGAGGGAGAGCCACATTTCAGGAAAGGCCAGATGTACATACAGAGAGATTAAAATAAATCACTGAATATTACAGTTGAGGACAGACAAGGCATATATTCCAGATTAGTTTAGGACCATCCTTGTTTTTTGTATTAGTTCTTTTTTTTTTTTTTTGGTGACGTAATTGGGGTTAAGTTACTTGCCCAGGGTCACATAGCTAGTTAAGTGTCAAGTGTCTGGTCTGAGACTGAACTTGAACTCAGGTCCTCCTGCCTCCAAGGACAGTGCTCTATCCACTGCACCACCTATTGTATTAGTTCTTAAGCTTACTGTATCTTAAATCTCTGTCAGCCAACTTTGTCCTAAAAGAGCAAATCCATAATTTGTCTCTAAACATGGTATAACCATGTTCCAGTTAGCACTTTTGCAATTGTCATTTCTCCTCAGACCTCAATGAAAGTAACACTGAAATTTCTCAGACTTGCAGATTTAGAAAAGAAGGCAAGAGATCATTCTGAGAATGGCACCCAGACTGAGGAGGGCCCTGGAGAAGAAAAAGAAAAGGAACAAAGCATAGAGACTGTGGGTAACAGAATTCAAAGACTGTTTCTCTAACATATTTCATAGATTTGCTATAAGATGAATACTGCATTATGTTACTGATTTCATCCCTAGGATATATCATCTGCTTTGGGAACACAGACATTCTATTTACTCTAAATATTTATCATCACTCTCAAGTTTTCTTTTCTTGATTTGAATTTCATTCTGTGTAAAATTCATCGAGCCAGATCTTCATTCTTGTAAATGTAGGAAATCCTGGACCAGGTATTACTGCTGTCAGGCCTATGTTGCAGCTTTTCCCTGAATCTCTTAAGGGACTAGGAAAATCAAAAAAGGCAGGTCTTGTGAAAATGGGAATTTATCTTGAGAATTTATATATCACCTAATATTTGGATCAGTTGGGGGCCAGACACAATTGAAATATCAGAAAGTAGAGATAGTCCAGAAAATTTCTTGAGACTTTCTCCTTCTTGATGGCTTCAAGGTAGAAGATTTAGGTAAAGGTGGTTACATTTTATAAAAGTTTCCAAGTCAACATAAAAGAGCCTATAAGCCAAAACAAGGAAGTTTTTGTAGCCACAGAAGTTTCTGTGGGATACAATAAAATACAACATTTAAATAAAAACCTCATTTCTGCTTAACCATCTAAGCTTGAAAAAGGAAACTGAAACCCAAAGGCTTACCAGGAAGTCACAGAAGCTTCCACTTCCGCTAACTCAATAATTAGCTCGTTGTAAAAAGTGATTGACTCCTCTTAGACTTCATAAAAGATATTACTTCCCTTTATGGAGAAGATTCTTAACATTAAGAGAATCAAAAAATAAGATCCAGATAAATAAGGGCTGATTAAACAGAGTTGTATTTCTGGAAATTTAAGGCTGAACCACAATCATGGTTAAAGTTGTGATGTAGTCATTTATTCTGACAGAATCAGTTGAGGATGTGAAGGAAGGAGAGCTATTTCCAAAAACTACCTTTAATAAGTTATTTTAAAAGTACATTAACAAGTACTTATGAAGTATTGACATTGAAAACAGTTCCATCACTATTAATATCTTTATTTTCAAATTTACAAAATACCGGTAGCAGAATAATTAAACAAATGAATTGTTTTATTTTGTTTTTTTGAGAAAAGCAAATCTGGAGTAATCACCTTTGTGTGTTTGAATTTTCTGTTGGACAGGTTGGAAGTGAAGTGGAAACACTGAACCTCCAGGTAACAGCTTTATTTAAAGAGCTCCAAGAAGCTCACACTAAACTCAGTGAAGCCGAACTGATGAAGAAGAGGCTTCAAGAAAAGTAAGAATAAAGGATAGAGCTAATTTGCATTTGGAAAATAAAAAGAAACATGTAGAGTTAATACAGACCTATTTCTAATTTAAAGTCAGAAAAACCTAATGTCATAATGGTTTCAGGCATATATGTGAAAAGCTATTATAACTTTTGATAACCTTTTACTTCGTGTGTGTGTGTGTGTGTGTGTGTAAAAATGCCTCTCTGTGAGGTATTTTACAAAGTAAGATAAACTTTCCAAGAAGATTACGTTAGCAATAACATTCAACTAAAGGGGGAGAGAAGAGGAAGAAGTTGTTGTTTTTTAATTGGAAAAATCTTTTCATTATGGATCAATTAATAAGGCTAACGAGTGGTGTGAGAAATTTAAAATGCCTTTATTTCTTTTTAAGTGCATCTTCTTGTTCTTCTGCATAGAGCACTAGCTAGTGTTAAAGCTGATTGCACTTTGTATGTTCTTCTTGGACTAGAGAAGTTTGCACATGTTTTAACAGCACATAGGCTGTTGGACTTGTTAAGTCATCTTCCAGACAAACCGAAGTAGTATTCAAATAACAGCTCCAGATACTGATATTCTCAAGGTTACCAGTACATATTTGGAGAACCAAGGTGCTTTTTCATTTTCCCTACACTTGCAGATAACTATATGATTGTCTCTACAAAGGGATTTATTTAGTTGTAGTCATAACCTTTTAATTATAGGTATGTAACTTACAAGAACAGGAACAGTATTGCCAAGTCCAAACCACTATAGGAGGAGCATCTTCTTACTGATAACTACTGTGGTTTTTGAAAATTGTTTAAAAATAACTAACCTATCTTCTGAAAATGACTGAAAGTTTAAAGTGTGTTAGTGTATTTCATGTGGTACTAACTGTGCAATCTTCTTTTGATAGTGGCAGAGTGAGTTAGCAAATAAACCTTTGACTAATAAGAAGGCAAATGGGAACTGGCATTTTGTTTTCTAAACAACTAAATAAATCCCTATACATTACATATATATGACATGCTTTACATTTCCTATATAAGCTTAGAATTTTAAATGTGTTAAAGTCACATGTCAAAAGTTTGAATGATATTTATATATGGTGACAAATTGGGTTCCATTCTGACCTGGGTGGCTTAGAAGTGAAAGAATCATCTCCATTCCAGTTAAATCTCTGCCCTGCCCTTTTCAGGTGTCAGGCTCTTGAAAGGAAAAATTCTGCAACCCCATCAGAGTTGGATGAAAAGCAAGAATTAGTATATATCAACAAAAAGTTGGAGCTACAAGTGGAGAGTATGCAGTCAGAAATAAAAATGGAACAAGCCAAAACAGATGATGAAAAGTGAGTCTGGCATAAATGAAAGCACTGATAAAAATGGAACAATAAACTCCTTTGTAATAGAGTGGAATTTGGGGAATGATGAGTGTGTACAAGTTCCTCTTTTAACTACTGTACTTGAGAAACAGGGAACTCTTCTGATGGGGTAGTATTGTTCATTAGGAAAGAACCACTGGGGTAGAGTGGAGGAAGAATTGAGCCCTACACCTTAATTTGCTGGGTGGAGCTATTTTTCCTGGTAGTTAAGAAGTTGAGGGAGAAAGGAGGAGAGAAACACTAATGTGCATTTATATCACAGGGGAGGCATTTTGCCTATTTAGGGGGGAAGGAGGAGAGAATGTAATAAAATCACTGATTCTTTTCCAGGCTTCCAATTAATTCTTTTATTTGTTGAAATAGGTCCAAATTTGCCATTTTACAGACTACACACAAAAAGCTTCTTCTTGAACATAGCAATGCACTGAAAACAATTGAAGAACTAAAAAGAAAAGAGGTATTTAAAGAAAAAAAGTTTAATTACACAGAGAGTAGAAAGGAATATAATTTTCTGTGTTGCTTGTGCATGTCAAATAGCTCAGTTGTTAGAACCACAGCAAAGAAATCTAAGTTTTGCATCAAAAGTAATTTTAAGTTTATAATTTTTAGTGACTTAGTATTGTTGTTTGTCATCTGTTTCATATGTATGTAATATGCTATTGTGTACAAAAATGACACTTCTGATCTATTCTTGATGATATTTTAATGTTTATGACATTTGTGATAGGCCTCTTGTGATCAATATTATGCACAGTGAGAGAGTTGGCTGGAATTAGAAGTACTTTTTATCTATACAGAAACTGACCTTGGTTGATTGCCCAAATTGATATAGTACTTTAACTAAGCAAATGCCTGTTATAGTGGTTTAGATTATGACAACTTTAATTTCAGAAAATTTTAATTTTTTTGTTGTCATTCTCACCAAATTATAATTTTAGTGATTCTCATTAGCCCAGTAGAGTTAAAGTTTATTTTTTGAAATGCCCTTTCACTTGTACTTGTCACCTTTTAACATAAATAGTATATTCCTTTCCTTTCCTCCTGATTACACAAAGAAATTACATTTTAAAATAATATGAATCAGTTACATCCTCAGTCAACTTAAAGGGATTTAGCTGTTGTGATTTGGTTTTGTTTATCTTTTTTAGCCTGAGATTAAGTATTAAATCCTACCAGGAAACCAAGGGTCCTAAATTGGTATTCACTGGTATTTCTAAGACACTGTGAAAGAAAAGTTGGCAACCCTTGCTATTAAGAGACAGAATAACTGGAAACCAATAATTTGTCCATATATATATTTTGTTTGTTATTTGACTAAAAGGTACTTTACAGTTTCAACATTTTCCCTTCAATGAATCTTTTATAACAGACAGAAAAAGTTGACAGGTCAGTGGTGAAGGAACTAAATGAAAAACTTGATTTAGCGGAGAGAGCCCTGGCTTCCAAGCAATTGCAAATGGATGAGATGAAGCAGACTATTGCTAAGCAAGAGGAAGACCTGGAGACCATGGCTGTCCTCCGGGCTCAGGTACAGATAATACTTTACACTTGGTAAATTAAGCATCACTTAAACGAACGTTTATTTCATTGTGAAGTAAAACCATAATAACATTAGCAGTAATTAGTAATATATGGTACTTTCATATGTCTGTCATAAATGTACTTTAAAATCAAATATCCATATTTTCAGTCTTTAAAACTTAACTGGAATGATTTCTCTCCATATATTACTAAAGAGAGGCAAAGATGATGTATTTCTGTGGTGACAGACTATTTCTCCCTGGCCTTTTATTGTTCCCTTAGCACACAGCAATATTGAAAAGAGTCCTTAACTTTTCAGTGTGTTAGAATATGGATTATTCTGTTTATGATTCCTGTGCTCAATAATAATAAAAAAACTTAATATCTAAAAAAAGCATATCCAATCAGGGGTACACTATTATACAATTAACCTGGGAATCCCCAGGAAAACAAATATATTATCAGAATTAGGCCTTTTTGCAACCTGTTGGGATAGGTGATCATTTACTGCTGAAGCTAAAGGTCTTCACTAGACCTCTTTGATCCCATTAGTAAGAACATGCTATAGAAAGGGAATTGTAACCAGAAGTTTTTTAAAGGTGTGTTTTTTAGCATGGTTTAAACTCCCAGGTCTGGCTTCAGCTTTGGCAATCATAACATCATGGTGAGGTAAAATTCTGTGGCAGGCAACAGTTGCCTAAAAGACTATCAGTTATAAGTGATAGGTGGCAAATTGCAAAGTCTCTGTAAGGGCATTCTTCACATTATTGACTACATTTTACTGTCCTCATATGTTTAGACCATTAGACCATTCTACTTTATTATTTTAGAAATTTTCTTTTAATATTAATTAAGGGGGAAAGTTACATTCTATATCATAACTTCATAGTTAGCAACAGATCATGATTTATTATCCTTTTCCTTGTGAAAAGGATAAGAAAAAAGTAAAGGCCACTTGATATCTGATTATTGGTAAAATACAAGGTGATTAGTATAGATATACTGCTTAAGTATTGAAAATCCAAGTGAAATTTTATATTATTCAATTTTTGTATTTTGTATTTCATGTCTTCATACAATCTAGAATTTTAAGAGCTTCATCTTATTGACATTCTTTTAGACACATCAGCCTTGTTTCATATATTTTCTTTTTTTCCTCCTTTTTTCTTTTTGAATATTTCATTTATTTTAGTTGGCCAAAATCTGCCTTCTCATTCTCCCATCCCACCCCTCTCTCCCAACTGAGAACACAAGAAAAATATAACCCATTACAAACACATATAGTCAATCAAAACAAATTTCTACATTGGTCATATCCAAAAAAAATTTGTCTCATTCTGTATTGAGTCCTTCTCTTCTATATCAAGAGGTGGATAGCATATTTCATCATTAGTTTTCTGGAGTTGTGTGTGGTCATGATGCTGATTAAAGACAATCACAAAAGTATTCCATCACATACCATAATTTATTCAGCCATTCCCCAGTTTATAAACATCCTCTCATATTCCCATTCTTTGCCACCTCAAAGAGCTATAAATAGTTTTGTGCATCCTTAGGTTTTTTTTTGCTTAGAATTAATCCTTCCCTTAAAATACCCTCCCTCAAATTCTCCTTCCTTATCTTTTCCCCTTTCCCTCCTATTTCCTTGTTGACTGAAATGTATTTCTATACCCAATTTATGTGTTCTTACTTCTTTTGGCCAGTTCAAATGAAAGTGAGGTTCAAATATCAACCAGTCCCTTCCACCCTATCTCCTTATTTGTATGTCTACTTGTATACCTTTAATTATGTGAGATAATTTTCCCTAACCTTTTTTCTCTTCCCCCTCCCTCCAGTGGATTCTTCTTCCCTTCTTTCCATTTTTTTCTTAAGATCATCAACATATAACAGAACCATTCTCAGGCCTTGTTTAATTGGATTCCCTTTATCACACCCAATGATGATAATTTTGAGGGGACAGAAGTATCATCTCCCTATATTTGAATATAAATCCTTTATTATTGTTCATTCTTGATTACTTTTTTTATGTTTCTCTTCACTCCTGCATTTGCACTTCAAAGTTTCTATGCAGTTCTGGTCTTTTAATCAGGAATGTTTGGAAGATCTCTGTTTCATTAATGATCAATTTTCCCCCCTACAGTGTTACACTCAGTTTTGCATTCTTGGTAGGAAGCCCATATTCTTTGCCTTCTGTAATATATATTCCAAGTACTTCACTGCTTTGAGTGGGGGAAGTTGTCAGTGTCTTAAACTCAAAGAGATGAAGTAGGATGAGAGCAGAGAAGAAACTATAAGATCTAACATTTCACATCACTTTGTTCAAGCCATGAGATCAGAACCTGGATTTTAAGAGGTTCAGAAGTGAATGAAAAGTGAGGAAGTAGAAGCTCTTTCTAGGAATTTGATAGTGAAAAAGCAAAGAGATAATAGGCTAATATCTTGAAAAGAGATGGCATAGTCGACAGAAGGACTCACAGGGCTTGAGGAGATCTGGGGATAGAGATATCAGGGAAGTAGCCAGAAAAAAAAAAATTAAAGTTATGTATGGGATTGGGAAGGGAGGAAAACAGAAATGAGGGAATGGGGGCAAGGACACAAATATTGGTTTTATACTAGAGCTTCATCATAGACAAGCATAGTGGGGGGTGAGGAGGAGGAGGATGAAGGGGAACAAGGTATAGTAAATGATTTCAAAGTATAAAGTAAGAGGACAGAAGAGGCTCATGGTAGGTAGCTTCAGTTTCTTCAGCAAAATAAATAAAATCCCTTGCTGTGATAGGAAAGGAGGAGAATGGTGTAAAAGGCCTGAGAAGAAAGGTTTTGAAAGAACTGCTCCAAGTAGTATGATAAAGAATCTCTTATGAACTGCCTGTTCTCATCCTTTGACCATTTACCTAGTGGGAAGTGGCTGTCATATATTTGAAACAGTTTCTTATATAAATTAGATAGAGAAGCTTGCTACAAAGATCTTTTTTTTTGGCCAATTAACTCCTTCCCTTCTAATTTTAACTATATTGGTTTGTGCAAAAACGTTTTAATTTTATATCAAAATTGTTAATTTTATCTTTTTTGATCATCTTTCTTCTTTGTCATGGACTCTTTCTCTATCCATAGGTGCAAAAGATATTTTCTTCCTTGATTCTCTAATTTGTTTATGATTTAACCTTTTTAGATCATTTAACCATTTGAGGTTTATTATGATATGTGGTATTAGGTCTTTGTCTAAACCTAATTTCTGTCAGACTGCTTTCCAATTTCTCAGCAGTTTTTGTCAAATAATGAGTCTTTACCCTGGTAGTTTGAGTTTTGGGTTTATCAAACACTGTGCTTCTATTCCATGGATGATTCTCTATTTTTTTTAAAATCAGTACCAAGTAGTTTCTTAGTGTAGAGATCTGGTACTGTGAGGCTCCCTCCTGTCTTACTTTTTTCCTTATTTCCCTTGAAATGCTTTACTTTTTAGTCCTCTTGATATATTTTGTTATTTTTTTCTATATCTATAAAGTAATCCTTTGGCAGTTTGATTGGTATGGCAGCGAATAAGTAAATTTAAGTACTCGTGTCATTTTTATTGTATTGGCATGGTCTAACTAAAGTGTAGTTTATATTTTTCCAATTATTTAGGTCTGTATTTCGGTAAAGAATATTTTGTACTTGTATTCATATACTTCCTGTATATTCATTGGTGGGTAGGCTCCTAAATATTTTTTTACATTGTTATTATTTTGAATAAAATTTCTTTCTATCTTTTCCTGCTGGGTTTTGCTGGCATTTTATAGAAAGGCTGATGATTTGTTAGGATTTTATTTAATATACTGCTGTTTTGTTAAAGTGATAATTTTTTTCTCTTTGCTTCTGTTTATTTCCTCGAATTTTTTCTTATTGCCTCTATTGCTAGCATTCCTAGCATTATATTAAATAATGCTGGCAATAATGGACATCTTTGCTTTGCTCCTGACGATATTGGAAAAGCCTCTAGTTTATCCCTCTTATATATAATACTAGATTTTTCTTTTGATACTATTTACCATGTTAAGAAAATGCCCGTTTGTTTACATGTATTCTAGTGTATTTTGTCAGAAACTGTTTCTCTACTTAATATAATGATGTGATTTAATTTTATTAATATAGACTCTTAATATAGAATAATAATATAATATGTTTATAGTTTTTCTAATACTGAACCAAGTCTGCATTTCTGGTATAAATCCTATCAGTTATTAATGTACAATCTTTTTGATGTATTACTGTAGACTCTTTGCTAATAATTTAACGAAAATTTTTGCAGCCATTTCATTAAGGATAATGGTCTTTAATTTTCTTTCTCTGATTTGTCTCTCCCTGGATTTGGAATCAAGACCAAATATGTGTCATAGAAGGAACTTAGAATAATCCTCTTTCTATCTTGGTTAATAGTTTTTGTAATTCATAAATAATTATTTTAATATTTGATAGAATTCACTGGTAAATCCATATACTTTTTCTTTAGAGTTCATTTATTGCTTATTCAGTTTCTTTTTCTAGGACTGGATTTTTTAAAATCCTCTATTTCTGGTTCTCTTAATCTAGATATTGCATATTATTATAATTAGTCCCCCATTTCATTTAAGTTATCACTACTGTTAGCATATAAATGGATAATAGTTTCTTTTTTAAATATTTATTTTTAGCATTCTTTTAAAATTTTGAGTTCCAAATTTGCTCCCTCTCACCTATCCTCCACCGACTGAGAAGACAAGCAAAATGATATTAGTCATACATGTAAAGTCATACAAAACATTTCTATATTAGCCATATTGCAAAAAAAAAGCAACAAAAAAATAAAGAAAGCTAAAAAGTTATACTTCAGTTTAAACTCAGAGTTCATCAATTCTCTCTCTGGAGCTGGATAGCAAGTTTTCATCACGAGTCCTATGGAATTGTCTTGGATCATTATATCAATAAGAGTAGCCATATCTTTCACAGTTGATCATCATTACAACATTGCTGTTACTGTACACAATGATC